GATTTATTAAAATCCTGAATCTATTTTTTTATATTAATTTATTTTGCCCGAAACGCCAGAATCTCTGGTGAAATCTCACAAAATTTCAAGAACCACCAAACAGCTAAAACAGTAAATGAGAGCAGGAACACGGATTCTGCACAAAGATGTAAACACAAAGCTCGGACCCGCCGACGGATCAGAATCAGTGAGATGTGACTTTCTCACTCAACAGCACGGACAGGGTTGGGGCTGAAAGCCGACAGCTCGCTGATTCTGATGTCCGCGCTTTGTGTTCACGCCCTTTTTGCGGTGAATCTAAAGCTGTTGGTTTTATCTCTCTTCAAACATTATTGACCAAACCAGCAGCAAAAGAAGATCCAAACTAGCTTCACATAAACAAAGTCATGAATTCACTCTGACTTTTGCTGTTCTCTGTCTGTCTGTCTCTCTGTCTGTCTGTCTGTCTGTCTGTACTTCAAGAACAGTTTTCCATCTAAAAATCTGTTTTCTGCATTATTTGCTTGCTTGTTACAAACAAGTCTACCGTTGTTTACAGGCTGTCGGCCGCTGTTTTTCCCCCCTCTTTTACTTACCTAATTTCTGCTGTTCAACAGGCTTCTGAACAAATATAAACTTTTTAAAATTATGCAAAATGCAAAACGCTCAGCTGTGTCTGTAATAAAACCGCTGTAACTTCAGAGGTAATGTTCATATGTTGATTAATGGTTTTCTTTCGTTTTTGATGTACTGTGGAATATTTTAATAAAATCCAGGCCAGGAAAATCACCTTCATGTTTTTCTGTGTTTTATCTTCAGCTACTGTGACGCTCACACCTTTGATAAAGTCTGGAAAGTGTCAGCTTCCTTTTTATAGATACAAAAATATGTAAATGTACTGATCTGAATTATAATATTTCTGACTGTCTCAGGCAAAATTTCCCAGATTTTAATCGAATCGAATTGAATCGAATCGTGGATCGAATCAATTCGGGACCTTGTGAATTGGAATCGAATCGATTCTAGAAATCAGTGACGATACCCAGCCCTAGTTACTAACTACCGCGGTCAAGTCATTAAGGGAGACGGGATCAAACTGCTCTAAGACAGCTGAGCACATAGGAGAAAGACAATGATCTCAAGCAGCAGACGACGAGACAAGAGCCCTAATCGATAGAATCTTGTCAATGGAGCAATCGAGTCCAAAATATCAGTGCAGGTAGAATGAAGAATGTCCGAAAGGTCCTCAACACTCTTACAGTTGGAGTTCATTATTCCAGAATCCATAAAGGCAGCAGAAAAAGCGGGCGCTGTCAGAGCTTTAAGAGCAGCGCAGCGTTACAGTGAACAACACAGGAAGATAATCGGAGATGCGCAACTTGGATATTTCCGTGATGCACACATCCAGCCCGTGGGAGAGCACCAAGTCCAGTGTATGACCTTTTTCATGCGTGGGACCGGTAACCCACTGGGTCAAGTTAAAAGAGTCAATAATATTTAAAGTCCTTGACCAAAAGTTTAGAGTCACAGCAGACATGGATGTTAAAATTACCAAGGATTAAAAAACTGTCGAATTTAAGAACGATTCCAGCCATAAAACCTGAAAACTCTTTGATAAAATCCTTTTTAAGATGGAGGACGGTATATGAGGGCACACAGCAAAGGCGCAGCAGAGTGTAGGTGTAACTCAAACAGTTGGAGTTCAAAACTAGAAAATGAGTCGTGCTGTAATATTTGATGAAATCGTGAAATCGAGCGTTGAACACGGTGGCTAAGCCTCCCCCCCCTACCAGAGGGCTGAGGGAGAGTGAAGAATGAGAAATTAGGAGGAACCAGTTCCAAAAAAGCTCCAGACTCACCGGGTTGAAGCCATGTTTCTGTCAGAAACAGAAAGTCCAACTGTTGTGACTTTAGGAAGTCGTTTAATACAAACGTCTTGTTTGCTAATGATCTTACATTTAGTAAAGCCATTTGGAGTGTGTAGATCCTAACATCAGATGTTCCAGCTTGGTTAAGTGTACGAAGATTTCTGTGGTCCACACCGCATCCACGGGTCCGAGGCCGCTTAGGGAAATAGAATGCTGAGAGCGGGGGATCAAGTGTCATGGGAGCTCCAGGGACAACAGGCAGGATCCATCTAAAGATGCACTCTGCTGGTCCAGTAGTTCCACGAGAAGCATGGAGAAGAGCTCGGACTTTGATGAGTGTACCAGCCCGCTTTCCTTGTTTCCTCGGGTGCTTCTTCCAGGAAGTGGTGTAGGAGTGTTGGCACAGATAAACTGGAATACAGGGCTCAAAAAGTGGTGGAGGAGGCCCATAATCATCTCCAGTGTCCGTTTGTTTAAGAGCCAGGTCATACGATGCTTTGATTTCTAAGAGTAGCTGGCGATTGTACACACGCAGAGCGAGGGCATTTTAGGATCAAATAGAAAAGGATAAGGCTAGCGAAAGCCAAAGCAAAGCTAGCAGAGTTGACGGACGTGTCGCTGTGCATACTGCTGGCGCCATCTTCCTAAGAAGGCATGGGATCTCTTTTCATTGCACATGCTGATGAATGCCAGATCTATTTGCCACTAAAGCAGAAGGATAGCATCTCCATAAAACGTGTTTTGACATGTCTAGATGACATTAAAGCTTGGTTGGCTTTAAACTACTTAAATTTCAAGTACAAGAAAACAGAATTGTTGGTGTGTGGACCCAGTGGTGCCTGTTAGTCCTCCTGTTGATTTTGGATCCCTGGAAGTTTATTTTAAACCTGTCATTACTGACCTTGGTTTTAAGTTGGACAGTGGTTTTAAATTGGACAACCAAATCAGAGCAGTGGTGAAGTCGTTTTATTACTTAAGGAGACTGGCAAGAGTGAAATCTTTTCTTTCGAGGCAGCACCTTAAAACAGTGATTCATGCTTTTATTTCATCCCGTCTGAACTACTGTAACTCACTTTATGTGGAGGTCAGTCAGTCGTTGCTCTCACGTCTGCAGCTGGTTCATGCCGCTGCATGACTGCATAACAGGAACTCGTAAAAGAGAGCATATAACCCCTGTCCTGGCCTCACTGCATTGGTTGCCTGTGTCTTTTAGAGTTCATTTTAAGATTCTCATGTTTGGTTTTTAAATTCTTTCACTACCTCTCTGAGCTTTTTCATCCACGCACACCTTGTCAGTCTCTCAGGTCAGCTGACCAGCTGCTCCTGGAAGTATTGAGATCCAGGAGGAAGCTCACAGGGGGCGGGGCCTTTTCTATCATGGCTCCTAAATAATGGAATAACTTGAACTTGCCCTTCCATGTTAGAGAGGGGCTGTATCCCAATTCAGGGTCTGCAGCCTTAAAGTACGCAGTCTCAACGATCCTCAAGGGCCGCGTACTTAAAGACCGCTAAGGCCGGAAGTGCGAGGCTTGTGAAATGGGATGGTCTAGCCTCCGTTGCGCTGCCCAGGTTGCCTAGCAACCATGATACTAACAGCTGGAAACGTTTCATACAGCTTTGTTTGACAGAAATGAAATGAAGAAAATCATTTGTTCATTTGTTTGTTTGTTTCTACATGAGCTTTGGTCATTCTCTGTATGATTAAGGTCAGCTATTGAACGGCGTATATTTGAAAGTAAAGGCTTTAAAACCAAGTTAGTACAAACGTCACTAATGTCACATGACTTTGCCGACATGTGGCCAACAGTAATGTTTTAATGTTCTTCATTATTAAACATTTGCACATAAATAAGTGACATAATATTCAGTACTTACTTAAAGTTTACTCTTCAGGCGCCCCTCATCCGCCGTTTTTTTCGGCAAAATTATCCACACCCACCGCCGCGCTATGCATTCTGGGATATATTGGGCCATGAAGTCTACACCGCCACGTCCTTAAAATTCAGGGAAATGAAGGACGCATTTGAGGCTGCATTTCGAGCAGCCTTCAAATTGGGACAGCCTTTGTCGCGTCGCTGTGACGTAATCGGCCTTAAAATGCGGCCTTTAAGGCTGCAGACCCTGAATTGGGATACAGCCAGGGCCCTTCACTGTCCACTTTTAAAACACGTCTGTGACAGCAATGACGGCCCCGACCACATACTTTCACTCTTTACACACTTTTTATTCCTGGATGCTGCATCTACAACTCCCGGCCACAGCTTTTCAGCTGCATCCCACACATAACACCCACCCAACCAAACAAACAAACACTTCCTCAGGTCCTCCCATATGGAAAAGAAATAGTAAAAACTTACAAAAGACTTGATTCACATGTGGCCTACTTCATATAGTGAATCATATAAGGCTTACATGATTTACTCATGAAAGTGGCCACTTTCTCATTACTTTCATATAATGTTTTAGTAAGTATTCAAAACATACAAGTTTCATTTATATAATTTTTCAAGGGATCTTATCTGTTTTCACTCTTGTATGCTTTTTCATACAAGTTTCACACAAGACAGATATATATTAATCTTATAAAGTTTGTATCTTTTCCATTTGGGCTGGCACGTTTAATATGCCTGAGATCGAGCTCAGGTGTGTCAGCTTCCCCCACACGAACCACGCCCCACCACAATGTCTTAAAACCCATTTTTATTCTTTGGCTTTTGGCCTCAATGAGACTTAGTTTTTCTTAAAATTAAATTAATTATTAATTAATTAACTATTTCACTTTCTTTTATTTGGATCTTATTTATATATTATGAATTTTTATTATTTAGTTCCAATGTGCAGCACTTGCTTTCTAAATAAAGATGATGATAAAGAAGAAAGGATGCACAAATTACACTGTAAGTATTGTAAATACTTACACTCTGGACACGTCACCAGTCTGTCACAGGGCTAACGCAGAGAGACTGGTGGTGGAATCAAACTCAGGACCTTCTTGCTGTGAGGAAACAGTGCTAATCACTGTTTCGTACGCCACTGTGCTGTTGTTGAAACATTCATTCATTTAATTGGGAAGTAGATTTTTTGTGTTTTCATAAATGATGACCAATCTGCACTGGGATCAGTTGTTGTGGATTGCAAATAAAAAGCAAAATGACAAAGTAAGATCATCTTACAGAGGAGTGAATGTGGGGGGAGTCAGATGTGGAGAGAGGAGATTAAACCGAATCTGTGAAGGAACTTTTCGAAAACAGGAGGAATGTAATGATTATATAGGTTGTAATTACCAGAGCTTCAAATGTAGCAGCTCCTGCTACCACAACATTGTGCTGAGACTGATTCCTGCGATGTCGAGAGATCTGCAAAAGACATGTTCATTAAAACAGAAGCGTCTCCTGCAGGCTGGTGCTTCTTTGTGATTTACGTACAGGTTTCTGAGGAAGGTCGGTCTCCTGCAGCACCATCGACTTGGACTGACTCAGACGGTCTCCGGAGCTCGGAGAGTTTTTAATGCGCATCTGCACGGCTCCCTGTGTCGCTGCGCTGCGCTGTGGAGCCTGAATCCCTGGTTTCACGGTACTCTGCAGGTTCGTGATTCTGCACATGAAAAACAAAACAATCATTTTTATCATTTCATAGCTTTACAGTTAGTTATGATGTCTGTAAATTTATATTTCTATGCATTTAAACAATCCACTTTAGAGAAAATGTATTATGATATTACATTTTATTTCCCATTAAAATAATGAAGACTATTATGTTTCCCCAGGCAGTATGGGTAACCATTTACTCAGGTAAAAACGTACATAGACTGTTCATTCTTTTCATTTGTGTACTTTGGGAAATACTTTGTAGAATTTGTATCCCCCCACTGAAAGTTTATTTTACAATTTATTGAAAAAGTAGCTTTTAAACACCCATTATGCGTAATGTTAAATTAACCATGATTAAATAAAAATACATTTAATAAAATATGTAATATTAGAATCAGTTAAACTTAACTGAAATGGCTCTGTCTGCGTCTATTCACCTGTTTACACCTCCTGTTTGTTTAAACTGAGTGACTGAACATTCAGAAGTTCCATCCACAAAAGGATCTGAGGACAGTTTGACTTTTTCCTGTTTGCTTCACTTTAGTTACACAATGTCTGCCTTTCTGCTATCCAGCTGCAAGGAAACCAGAGCTGAAAAGACTGAGGGTATGTTTGAATAGTACCTCTTCTCTCCTTTTCTAACCAGTTTTCCTCGATCTAAGTGGGAAACAATATAAGGAAAGCTGGATAGGAAAATTAACCAGGACTTAGAATAAGAGAAGAGTGTATCCGGTTGTATTTAAACTGGCAGTGTCAGCAGCTTTTGGCATTGAATGTAAAACACACTGTTACTTGACATTTACAGTTCTGTTGCTGGTTTACATGAATGGCTGGATGGTGTATTTTATAGAACAGAATTTTTCCTCTTCTAAAGACGTTAATAAGGTAAGCATTGAAGCTCTTTTTCTTAGTATCTGGAGAATTCAAGTAGTTCTTATTGCTGTCATGCAGATACTTCCAGGCCACATGATTCTGGTGACAGAATTTTACCACGTGTCAGGTGTGTAAACAGCCATTGTCTTTTATTTATATCCTGCCAAATCACAACAACAATTCCCTCAAAAGTCAAAGGGGGAGGGAGGGCGAGAGAGAGAGATTATTTCAAACATGGAAATATAACTGAAATAAGAGAAAAGAAGAAAAAGCACAACTTAAAAAACATCAAGTTTTCATGTATATCTCTATGTCCACACAATGTGTGTGCTGGAAAAGAGTAGGATGAAGTTTACACTTTTCCTGGAGAATACAATGGAAAAACAATCAACAACATTAAAAAACAGCATTTCTTGAAATCCCTAGTCACATCTTTTTTCAACAGTTTTAATGAAAAGTTTGGTGTACATCAGAGGTTGAGCGGTATCAAGAAAATGTCAAAGTACCATCTCGTAACACTTTGGTCTTCCTCCTAAAATGTGGTTAATCAAATAATTTTAAAAAAGAGGGTAGGGCTGGAGAATGTGGGGCTATAGAAAGAAGTTGATGGTTTGTATGTACTTCCTGAACTCTTAGTGTGCAATATTACATTTAAATATATTGTTGAAATGTCTGGTAAGTGTGTTAGAAAATGCAAATAAAAACATTAAACACTCTGATCATTTTGTTTTTTATGACGTTGACATATGTTTGAATCATCCCTCGTGTCTGCAGTTCTGTGGGTTTGAGCTGTTTCAGTAACTGACTGTGACATAAAACCACATCATAAAAACAGCACACTTAAAAATATGATCAGGTCTCAGAACTGACATGATGAGAAGTGAAGCCTCATTAACCGGAAACAAAATGAAACCCTCCAAACAACGGAAGCTGGACCGTCAGTCATGCATGAAGTCTTACGATCATAACCTCATAGTCTGAATCAGAGACTGTTACAATGTTTCCATAACTTCAGATGAGATTGGTCTAAAAAAAATAAGCAAATGAAATCTTTATGCTCATTTAGGGTTATTCCTATTATTATTGGCCTTTTTAAAAATTTCAGCCAGAAGTGAGCGGAGGCCTACAGAAAGTAAACAAATGTGAACCCCAGTAACGCAGCGGTGAGACCTGCAGACACACACCAAAACAAACCAATCACAGAGACAACAGAATAATGAGATTTCATATTTAAAATGAACTCACCTTGTACCCGCCATCTCTGTATGTCTCAGATCACAAAAGAAGAGACGCAGAGAGGCCTAACTGTCAGAGGAAGTAAAAAGCATCACGTGGTTTCTTCAAACCAGACGTCTCAAACTACAACTGCTGCAACCTCCCCATTTCCTGAAAACAAACCTCACTCTCGTGAGACCAGACACGGGCAGTTTGTCACTTCTGTCAGTGCTGGTGTTCAAACATTACAGATGGTCTGACTTTATTTACCCTGGATTTATAAACCTATTACTCAGAACAGCTGATTAGGAACCTAATCAGATTATTTCGATTATTTCAAGGCTTTCTTGGCCTGTTGTTGTGTTAGTACATAGTAAATTTATTATTTTAGAAAAATTATTCCACCTAAATATCTAATAAGATATAAGTGACTTATAGGTAATTAATATGCCTATATACTATAATATAACATGTTTAATAACAGTAGCTTTATACATTGCAAACAATATATTCACCATTTTAAGATAAATATTACACCAACTGCACACAAGTTATCAAGGAGCTGTTGATGGCTCATGGCATGGTTTTGGCATCATTTGGAATTTCTAAATAAATCATTAACAAAGTGTTTAGATAGTATACATAATCTCAATAATGACAGTGAAATGGGCTAACTGTGTGTCTGTGAAGGTTCTCAGATGCTTTTCTTGGCAAGCTCCTTTGGGCTAACTGTGTGTTAGCACAGGTTTTTATTAATATTTCTTTCATGCTGTAGTTAAGCTTGAGACATTCAGACAGGTACCAGCTGCTAGTTCAGTATTTAGAGTTAGCTGATCCAAAGTGAGTTTATACAACAGGAAAAGGAAACAGACAAATCACAAAGATACAAAACTGTCATGGTCCTGGGTCGTGCGACCCAGTGTTTTGTGTTTAGCCTATTTTGATGTTTATTGTTTGTTTAGGTTCATTAAGTTAGTCCAGCCCATTTGTAATTATGTTACCCTTGTATTAAGCCTCCCTTGCCCTTCGTGTGTTATGTCTGTGTGTCTTGTATTGTCAAGTTCATGCTGTCGCTTCAGTTGCACTCTCCTGTCCTGTCGTTAGGTTCATGTGTGTCAGCTGTGCTCCCATGTGTGGCCACTTCCCCTGATCATCCCTCATGTGTATTTAGTCTCGGTGTTTCATACAGTCTGTGTCGCGTCGTCTGTGTTCCCACGCCCGGTCTGTTGTATTCTAAGTCATAGCCTTACCATAGTTTATTCCCAGTTTAGGTTTCTGTTTAGTTATTGCTCTTGTGCTGCCCTTATTCTTGTTTGCTTCTTTTGTATTCATCAGCCACAATAAAAGGCTCGCTTTTGGTTTAAGTTCACTCCCGTATCACTTGTGTCTGCACCTCCACCCACTCTCCACACGGTCTGCCACAGCGGACTGTGACACAAAACATTTAATATAATATAATGAATGTCTTTTTATAATTTTAAACTGACATGTGTAGTAGTTGGATTAAACATATTATTTCAATAAGGAAAGATTAGAAACAACTGAACATGATTTAATGCAGAATTCAATTTGAGGTATTTGGCAGTTAGCCGCCCCCCGTTGTCACAACGACGCGACGAAGGCTGTCCAGATTTGTAGACTCCTCCGAATGTAGTCGACAAATGTGTCCTCCTTTTCCCCAAATTTGAAGGATGGGGTGAGTGTTTGGGCCCCTCCTCCAATTGGAGGTGGGCGGTGCACGGGCCATCCCTCGGTAAGGGGCCTGGACCTTGGATTGTCCACGGCGTCCGCCATGGCGCACCAGGGTCCAGTCAGAAGTCCATCCAACCATGGTGAGTTGGATGGAGGCGAGTGTTTTTAAACTGGTTTTTCTACCAAAGTTTAAATTAAATTTTTAAATTAAATTTTTAACTTAAATATGTAATTTTTAACTTAGATTTTTAAAGAAATAAAATGAAGAAAATGAATTGGTTTTGAAAAAAACCTTTTAGTTATTAAAGAAAAAATAAATCAAATTATAATAGGCCAAATGAATATGAATTTGTGTGCCTATGTGGTGACGTTACGACCTGTGAAGGTCTTCTTCAAATCAAAATCAAATCAAATTCAAATTTTATTTGTCACGTACACAGTCATACACAGTACGATATGTAGTGAAATGCTTGGACAACTGCTCGTGACCTAAAGAAAACAAAAAA